CCCCCCCAGAATTCCCAGTCCCCATTCCCCACCTGCAGCCGGGATTATCCCGGGAAAACCTGCACGGAGCTTCGACCCCAGAATTCCCAGAATTCCTGGAATTCCCACCTGAGCTCCTCCAGCTCCTTCTTTTTGTGCAGAAGGAATTCCAGAGGGAATTTTAGGGCAAATCAAAAAGGAATTGCAGAGATAATTCCAGAGGCGACTCCAGAACAAGTGGAAAGGGAATTCCAGAGGCAATTCCAGAGGGAATTCCAGAGAGAATCCCCGGGGAAGCTTCAGAGCAAGTGGAAAGGGAATTCCAAAAGGAATTCCAGAGGGAATTTCAGGGCAACTTCAGAGGGAGTTTCAGAGCAATTCCAGAGACAATTCCAGGCTCTTTCCCCCCTCAGAATTCCCAGTCCCCATTCCCCGCCTGCAGCCGGGATTATCCCGGGGAAAACACGCAGGGAGCTTCGACCCCGGAATTCCCAGAATTCCCGAAATTCCCACCTGAGCTCCTCCAGCTCCTTCTTCCTGCGGAGCTCCTCCCTCTCGGCCCTGCGCAGCTCCTGCAGCTGCTGCCGGCGCCGCCCGCGCTCCTCCCGGTCCCGGCATTCCCGCTCGGCCGCCAGGTCCGGGAATCGCTCCACGCGCGTCCGCTCCAGGCGCCGCAGCTGCTCCGCCGGCCGCCGCTCCACCGTCAGCGTCCGCACCTGGGAAACGGGAATTCCCGGAAAAAAAAAACGGGAATGACAATGGGAATGGGGGTGTGCCGCTCCACTGTCAGCGTGTGCACCTGGGGAAACGGGAATTCCCGGAAAAAAAAACCGGGAATGACAATGGGAATGGGGGTGTGCTGCTCCACTGTCAGCGTGTGCACCTGGGAAACGGGAATTCCCGAAAAAAAAATGGGAATGACAATGGGAATGGGGGTGTGCCGCTCCACTGTCAGCGTGTGCACCTGGGGAAACGGGAATTCCCGGAAAAAAAAATGGGAATGACAATGGGAATGGGGGTGTGCCGCTCCACCGTCAGCGTCCGCACCTGG